GTAACAGTTCACAGCCTTCGACAGGAAGTTAATCTGATGCTAAGAAGTTGAGTATAGAGTTACATTTTGTGGTTAAGAATCCATACAGCACAAACGCATTTCAGAAATATTTCAAAAATATTACAATGAAACATTTGTAATGTATTAATATTACGAAACATCCCAGAAACATTTCTGAAATGTGCCTGAAACGTAAAAATGTCCTCTAAATATAATATTTCACAGTAATATTTCTGAAATAAAAATTTGAACTCTTTTAGAAATATTAAATAGTAATATTTCAGAAATCTATTATAGCTTTTTTTCTAAAATATTATTACACTAAAAAAAGATATTTATAAATATTGTCATGAAATTCCTAAGCCGATCCTGTGCCTAAAGCAAGCGCGACCTTCAGATGGCAACCGACTCGTGCTCGAGGCGATGGAACGTTCAGGAATGCCGCTGACGCACTAGAAACGGCTAGAACGGGCGGAGAGTGCCGTTGAGTCAGAGATGGAATTTTCGGGACCGTCTAGAGTATTCTGGTTACAGAGTTGGCTTGATATAAATATCGCGAGTTTGAAGACGGCAGTCAGTTGATTATAGACAGTTTAGTAAAGAGTATTGGACTGAACACATAAATTGTAATAAATAAATTAGAATTGTAAGTTAGTGTCTAAGTATTATATAAATTAAATAGTACGTCATAAATAAATTGTAAATAGTGTGTTTTAAATAAATAAACTATAAATAAATTAGACTATCGTTACAATATACATGTTTATTTAAAATACACAAAACTCAAACAATAATTCTTAATTAATTTTTAAACATTTCATAAAATATAAAAGCAAATCGCTTGATTTCAACAAATTCCTTTAACAGCACTTATCTGAAACATGTATGATTATTACAATCTGATCATTAAGATCAATTAGCAATTTTATTCTAACCTAACTTAACAAGGGACGAAAAACTTCATAAACTAATTAATATTCTACTTAGAGTCTAATTATTTACACTACCGTTAACATATAACACTTAACTGCACTATACTCTGCTTTAACATCACTGAACTAACTCAAAAGGCTTGGTTCTCTCGAATCAATAGATTGGCATTGTTGAGCTGGATAATCTCAAGGTTTCCATGTTGGAGCAGTCGTTGGTGACTACTGGCAAATTTTTGTATTGTATTTTCAACAGTCTCCACTTTAAGGTCCCTATGAAGATCAGTATTGTGGCAGTATATACCAGGGTGCATCGACTATGTTCTTTAATACTTTATTATGGAAATGTTGAATAACTTGGATGGTAGTTTTACTGGCACATCCCCAAAGCTGGCAAATTGCTTCATTTCCACGAATTCCTTTAAATGCACTAATCTTAAACAAATTATAGATAATTAAGGAGGTCCTTTCGCCACCAATGTTAAATAAAAAAATATTAGATTATGACTAAAATTAATTTTTTTCTAATAGTTGAAGTCCTTATTTATCTAATAGTGAACTTTTAAAAATGTGAGTATTTGTACAGTGTCTTACGGGAAAGTAAGACCTCAACAACAATTTTCGAATTATACTATTATTTATTGATTAGACGGAGTAGAAAAAACTAAAAATAAGGTTTTTAAAATATTTAGGTTTTGTTTTTTTACAATAAAATATATAGGTTACCATGGAATTATTGAGAAATTAATATTAAAAAATGACAAAAAAATTATATATTCAATGGTCTGAAGTTCGCGCGCTACGCAACGTTGCCAAATGTTTTGACTCCATTTTAAGCTAGGTTACTTGAAATTTTTTTGTGATTTTTTACTTTCCTATCTGTATACAGATATAAGGAAAGTATAGGAATCATTTTTTTCGACCTCGAGTTTTCGACGGATTTTTACGTTTTGAGGTCCCCTGAATCCGTTTTGTCTATTTTCGCGATGATGTCTGTGTCTGTATGTCGCATAACTCATGAACCGATATACAGATACACACCAAATTTTAAACTTAAGCTTTATTCCAACGTCTAATGAACTGATTAGATTTTGGGCAGAGTCGGAACATCTGGGGGGTACTTTATATATATACTTTATATTTTATAGAATATATCTGTTATTTACGTTTAAAGAAGAAAATTGTTTAAATAAAAGTTACTTCTAATATAATTCTCTATAATTTTTATTCTATACATAATTTCTCTAAAATGGACCGTATTCGAGATATTTGAGAAAATGTGTAAATTTCGAATTTTGAAGAAAACTCAAAAACGGATAAAGAAAAAAACATTTAATTTTAAACTTAAGGTTTATTTCGGCCTGACGTGAAATGATTAGATTTTGGACAAAGTCGGAACATCTGGGGGGTACTTTATGGGAGGCCGTTTTTATATTTTATGGAATATATCTGTTATTTATGTTTGGAGAAGAAAATTGTTCAAATAAAAGTTACTTCTAATATTATTATCTATAATTTTTGTTAAATGTCAAAATTTCCTGAAATGGTCCGTATTCGAGAAATTTGACAAAATGTGCAAAATTCTGATTTTTATGAAAATTGTTGGACCAAAAGTTATTTGCGATATCGATCTCTATAATTTTTGTTTATACCTACATGATTTTTCTAAAATGGACCGTAATGGAAAAATTATAGGAAAAGTGCAAAATTTAAATTTTTCAGTTTTTTCGTTTTCAATGAATATCTATAGAAAAATGTTTCCAGGTAAATGTATGTGGACAATGTATATATTTAGTTTATCCTCTAAACATATATAGAGATGCTGCAATAGGTTGTACAAAATAACCGGAAAAGCCTATAATAACTAGATAGGAAAGTCATGTGTTGGACACATCAGATTTTTAATATTAATTTCTCAATAAATTCCACGGTAACCTATATATTTTATTGTAAAAAACAAAACCTAAATAATTCAAAAACCTTATTGTTAGTTTTTTTTTCTACTCCATCTTATCAATAAATAATAGTATAATTCGAGAATTGTTGTTGAGGTCTTACTTTCTCGTAAGACACTGTACAAATACTCGCATTTTAAAAAAAATTCAAAAATTTGCACGGTAAGGTATAGTTAAAAGTTTACTATTAGATAAATAAGGACTTCAACTATTAGAAAAAAATAATTTTAGTCATAATCTAATATTTTTTATTTAACATTGGTGGCGAAAGGACCTCCTTAAAAAGGATTTATACAAATACTCATGCCTAAATAAAACATGAAGCTCCGCTTTTCTATCGGCTGTAGAACTAATAAATAAAACTGGAGTAGGACTCGCCTCGATTTCTAATAGACATATTCTGCTTCTCATATAACAATAGCACAATGCATAAATATCAAAAAAAAGTAAATGGCAAAAACCGACAACTTCAATCTATAATTATTTAGAATATAGGGTTGTCTCTGGCTGGTAGGCTGGACGAGAAATAAAATAACTACATAGCCAATCTTCTTCTTACAAATCAGAAATTTTTCATTAAGTGTTGGCCTTTTACAACATAACACGTTTAGAAACCTTTTGTGTAACATGAATACGATGTTTCAAAAACATTTTCAGTGAAATATTTTACTAAAATATTTCAGAAACGTGTGCTTGAAACGTTATATGTTTGAAACGTTTGAAACATTTCTGAAATAATGTGTGCTGTATGGGAAGAGCTATGTTACGCTAGTTATTCGGGTCGTTTGTGTCACCTTTTTTCACGGATTTTATTGAAAAACTATTTTAGATTTTCTATCCAGTCTGATGTAGATGTTTGAAGAACTCATTGCTAAGATTATCTGGCCCAGGCGACGGATACTTGGCTATATTTAAAACTTATGGATTTCATTTGTAGTGAAATTTGAGTCAAGATATGGGTGAGTGACATCACAGTAATAATAATTTATTGTTGTAGAGGGTAGGAAAAATTCTTTGTACAATGCAATCCGATGGCTCAATCAAATACTGCCACAACTAAAATTCTATTGTTGTGAAATTTAATTTTGAAATTTTATAAGTCACTATTATCATTATTTTGTTTTTGACATAAAATCTTTATATTTTATTTAAAAGCTTCGATATTTTGCTGTTAAAATTAACGATTACGATTATAAAAGGAATGATTGCATAGTTTGTAAAAAAATTGGGTGTTTTTGCAGAAAATTACTCGAATTGAGGCAGTTTTAGACAGTTTGTGGCTAGATTTTAAATGATTTTCGGGCATCTTTAATGATATTTTTGTTTGTGGTAGTATTTAAAGTAAAACCTTAATATTTTGCATCCATTGAACCAAAAATGTAATTTTCTTTGTTTTTTGACTTGTGGCGGTTTTTGATTAAGCTACCGATATCTAGATTAATTGGGGTTGTTTTCTTTTTATTATTATTTCTGAAATTTATACATTTCCAAAATTCATTGGGGTTATTAACATTATTAAATTTGGTTATCGTTTCATTTTCGAAGCCTTCTCTTTTGTTTATATTCTATTTATTATACATTAACTTTTTTTAGTTATTTTTTGATATATTTAGTTTATTTTTAACATCTCTGCATGTTTTATCGTTACCATATGGCTTTGAAGTTCGACCGGGATGATTACTAAATTTTACGATTTTTTCAATACTTAAAAATTTTGTTGTGAGCCTGTCTAATAGCTTCATTATTTGCTTATTAAGATTGTTTTTTCCAGAGTTCTCACTACCTACAATGGATATGAAATATATTCGTTCATTTGAACGGTGCCCTTTATAATTTCTAATTGCTAGAGTTATTTTATCTTAATGCTAAATCTACGGCTAGAGCTTAAAACGCTTCATTGTAAAACATTACAAATTTGGCGCCCAAAACGTGGGGCTCTAAATTTGTAATGATTAAGTTAGTAATACCACATTGTGTCAAATTTTTAACATTAAAGGTAGTAATACTAATAATAAGAATTCCAATAATTCTAGTTAAATAAAAATCGAATCATATTACAAAAACGTTTATTTTACCATTAATAGCAATACAACTTCTATAGTAAAATTATAATTCATTAGAGCTTCAGCTGATGAAGTTTCCTGTTAAGGTCTTCGAACTTCAAAATTTTCCTAATAAAGAAGTCCCCGTATCTGTGCGCCACCTTGGTGTCAGCGATGTGGATCATATCGTTATCGATATAAAAGTCAAGCTAAAACCCAAAAAGATTGATACAATCGTTGGTTATTATTTATTCATAATGGACTGAAACGAAAGGAAAAAAATCGCTTTTTTAGAAGAACAATGACGCAAGTCAAAATTATTGATTCCGCAGAAATCGTGAATTAAAAAAATGGCATTAGAACAATGACGTATCTGCCTTTCAGCGACCAATAGAGGTACGTACTAACATTACGTCGTTATTCCACAGGAGAATTGAAATTTTCTTTGTAATTATACCATAATTAAGTCAAACTTTGCACTTGCGTCATTATTTTTCCGAAGGAGCGAAATATTGTTTTCTAACCTCGGACCCGCTCTGGAACTTTCCCTCCAAACCTGACGCCCCCTTCGACCACACCACGTTCTTCATCTTATGCTTGAAACACAGCAAATGTATCACCAGCGACTGCATCTCCTTGTCCAAATCTCTATTACTAGCTTCGCTCGTTCTGCTATTCTGCGCCATAAAAGTAGCCAATTTACTCAAAGGCAAGGTCGTGTAGAGCTTCAAATAACTCCTGATGGTCGGCAGCATCTTCTGCTGCGCCACCTCCTCCATAAATACCTGGGTTTGATGTTGAATGGCTTCTTTGGAGTAATCTCCAGGTAACGAATCGATGGGTGGTGGATATGGTGATAAGAATTTAGGACAGGCATAGACGAAACTGTTTTCAAACTCTTGCAGATCCCCATACTGCATCTTGTACATCTTCTCGTGGTAGGATTTCTCTCTGAGCGTCTGCTGGATGGATTCGTCGATGCATTGCGGATGCAGCACTAAGCAGATGGCTAAAAGATGGTACATCTGATCAGTTTGTTTGTTGATCTGATCGTGTTGGTACGTTTTCGAGGCGAATAATTGTTTGGTGCGTTGGATGTAGAGAAGAATGGACGAAAACGTTCTTATCGCGTCCGAGTAACGTCGCATCATCATGTAGGCGAATCCCACATAGTATGACGTCGAAATTTGACATGCGGGGATGTGGGCGTATTGAGACTTTTTATGTACTTCTATATTCTCCAAAACCTGCAACTGAGGCGTATTAAAAATCCAAAATTGGAAATTGACTATAGTTTTGTACGCGGAGTCTGTCGCTGACAAGTCCACGACAGATGAGCATGCGCATTTTGATTTCAGACGTTCGCGGAGCGGAAAATCAGGGATTTTGACAAAATGTCCAGCTTTCACGGTGCAGTTGTCAGTAGTACACAACAAGTTATCGACATCAGCAAACATTAGTGTGGACAATTTGTTAAGAAATTCTTAGTAAGTAAAAGTGATGCAAAAATTGCGTTAATGAAGAGAAAAAAAAAAAGGAACGGAACAAAGAGAAATGGTTGATTGAGTTTTTAATTATGCTGACTATTCCAATAAATTATAAAAATTGAATGTTCGAACTAATAAAAAATTAAACAACAATTAAAAACTACAATTTTACAATGGAATCTTTCTGATATCTATTCTAAAAACTATCTTCACAATATACAGACTTTTGTCTCACTTTTTATTTGCAGTTAAAGTGTATGATAGTCATTTTGGTACACAAGTCGTTCGGGGTGATCTCTTGTCAGGGATATGTTACAAACCGCAGTTGCGCACAAACGTTTCTGATTATTTATCAGTGACAAGTCGTGTACTTGTCAGCGACAGGCTCCGCGAACAAAGCTAATAAACTCTTTTTTTTTATTTCATTTCGGAGTGGCTGTGAAAGTTACATCGCTCACTCTGTATAGGAAGACTGAAACTGTTATGATTAGTCTAAAAAGTAATAGTGTTACATCGCTTTGAGAAATTCATTAGATATGAAGTGATCCACAAAAATGTTTCTAAAGTAAACATTGAAAAAAGTCAAATATATCTGAGCTAACAATTCTTTTAAAGTGTCAGTTTGGATTTAATTTAGAAACGTTTTTTGTGCATCGCTCTTTGTTTTAAACACTTTCATTAATATGTATAAAAACATCATGCAATAAAGACCACCAAAAAAAAGAAGAAATAAACGGTGTTAAAAGGTATTAATAGTAAAAACAATCGATTATAAAAAAAATTGTAAGGCTGCAGAAATCACAGAGATCAAAATAACCGTCTGAAATCTTTAATAAGTGAAGTTAGAAAAGCATATGAGAATAGTTCAGTTACAGTTGGTGATAAAAACAAAGAACACTACTATCAACCTAAAGGATGTTTCTTCTCAAAGATTAATCACTGATCCCACAAAGATATCTGAAAGATTTACAATCAAAATTCTTGCAACCCTAACAATCCCTAAGGGTAACTTCAGATTTACAAACTGTTTTTTTACACCTGAAAATATTAGAGAGCCATCCATTGTCTGAAAACTTATTCAAATCCTGGAAGTGAAGAAATACCTGTTATTTTCTTACAAAGATGTGTTGGAACAGTAAAATTGGAATACCTGGAAATTAGAGGAAATTTACTTGATTGGATTGAGTGTTTTAATAAATATGCAATTCTGTGTCAGCGTTAATGGTCAAGTATCAAGAAATCCTTTTTATCAGTGGAGTAACACAAGGTTCTGTGTTGAGATCACTGTTATTCCTCCTATACACTAGTAACTTGGCAAATGTTATAAATAACATTATAACATTTTATGCAGATTATAAAAAAATGAAGTGAAATCCACTAGATATTAAGTCTTATGAAGAGATATTGAAACAATTAGCAGCTGGTCAGGCAAATGATTGCCCCACATTGGGTGCCAAAAATGTAACTTACAAAACGAACTCAGTAAATTCCAGTGAGGTGACCTGATAGAAACGTACAAATGGACTAATGGGAACTGCTCTAGCATATATATTTTTAATGTTTATTAGAATAGAACAAATACGAACACATTCCAAAAAATTGAAAAAAAAAAAAATGCAATAAGCTCCAAAGAAACACAATCAGTTTAAAAATCAGCTAGATGAAGAACGGAAAACTGCTTTACAGATTCTAAGTTCATTACACTTGTGTTAAAGGGTGATTACAGATAAATGTATTGTGATAATTGTTCTGTTAATGATGTGTTGATATGTATGTTGTAGTTAATGAACATATAGTATCATCGTTTTATCCCCTTACTGATCTTTGTTAATAAAAATAAATAACAAAAAACTAACCTTGATAGCTTGGTAGTAATCTCCGAGCAAAGAGTGCAGCCTCAACAAGCCCACCAAAGAGAAATATCCCAACATCTTATACAGCGAATGGCTACCAAACTCTCCTGACACAGAATCCGGATCGCCACCGCTAGCATACACTTCTAACTGTTGCTTGATGTTACTTTTGTCGACCAGCGAGTGCAATACGTTCAAAACACAAAGTACATTCCAAACTTTGTTGTTTGAATTTAACGTCTCCAATTCTTGTTCTTTCTTATTTTGCAACCTGGATCTGTATTGGGCAAACGATTGGAATTGGTAAACGAATTCGTCGATCAGTTCCCACAACCACAAATCGGGTAATTCGAGCGGCACGGGTTCTTCTGCGCTCAAAATGTAGTTGAATAGATCGCAATAGTTGTAGAAGGAGTTGAATCGCTGTTCTAGAGAAGGACCGCCTTGGATTCTTGCGTAAATGTGGCGGAAGTACAGTTCTTTGTAGAGGATCATAAATACCTGCAAAATTGGTTAATTTATTTTTTGATCATCGTGAGGGTTGACGAAGAAGTTTTTGTGCATTGTACAGGGTGTCGCAAAAGTGCCTTCACGATTAATAATTTCAATAATTCTGGAAATAATATTTATTTATCGAGTTTCTCTTTTTTAGACTAAATAATATGGAGCAAGGATAAAGGATAAAGATCTAAGTTTTTATTTGGAAAGCGGAAGAAGCATTATTTCTACTCAAAGAAACTTTCGACGATATGTCAGATACGCTCCATACGATATTGCTACTTACAGCCAAATTTATAGTCAGGATCAGCAGAAGACGCAAGATGGGCAGGAGGACTGCGAACAGCAAGATCCCTTAAAAATATTCAACATGCTCAACATGAAGACGTTCATTGCAGCTAGGGATCAAATGACGACCACTGCAGCGCAGTTTCAAACAAAATCGCTACTTGCATTCATATAAAATCCAGCGGGTGCAACAACTGAGCCTACAGGACGTAATGCGCGTCTGGAATATAGCCGAGCCATATTAAATCTTGCAGACAGAGAGTAAGTAACAAATTGTGGATGTCAGAGGCACATTTTCACCTGTGGATTTGGCAAAATTCGCGGTATTGGGGTACACATAATCCCCGATTAATTCACCAAAGGCCTCTCCATAGTGAAAAGGTTACAGTATAATGGTACTGTATAGGGTGTTTTTTCTTCTTTAAGGAATATGTTATTTACGATTGGAGAAAAAAATTTGATAAATAAAAGTTGTTTGCGAAATCATTTTCTACAATTTTTATTCTATACATGAGTTTCCTAAAATGGTCCGTATTTGAGAAATTTGTCAAAAAGAGGAAAATGCGAATTTTTAAGAAATTGTTTAAATAAAAGTTGTTTGCGATATCATTCTCTATAATTTTTGTTCTATGTATGATTTCTCTAAAATGGGCCGTAATGGAAAAATTTGAGGAAAAGTGTAATTGACAATGTGTATAAAAAGGTTTTGAGTAAGGTGTATGTGAAAAATGTATGTATTTAGTTCTTTTTGTAAATAGGGGTGATACAGTAGGTTGTCAAGAATAACCGGAAAATGCCTATAACTTTAGGTAAGACAGGAAAGTCATATGTTGGACATATCAGACTTTTTAATTTAAAATGGTCAAGGTACTTTCGCGCCACCATAGGGATGACTGTTAGGGATTTCTCTCGTAGAATATCTAGTAATATCGTTTCTTTAGGCACGATTGATCTCAAAAAGTACCTTCATCTGTTGCGTAACTGACTACTTTTATTATCAAGTCATCCACAAGACAATTTAAAGTTTCTCGTCGTAAATTCAAAATTTCTAACGTGCAAAACCAGGGTGAATCTAGTAAAAATAAAGTAGTAAATTAGTTTATAAAGCAAAAAAAAACTATAATTAAAACAACAGCAAACAGAATTTAAGAGAGAAAATATTAGAAATAAATAATGTGTGCCTTTTCATGTCTTTATTTTTTTAGGGTTTTATCAAAGGTAATACCACGAGTCTCCAAATTTTATCGATTCAATTTTTAGTTTCCGCGAAAACGTCCTGCGGACTCGTGATTTTATCAATCGATTTGTTCGAGTGGGTTTGCCTGAAATAAAGTCGTATGAATATGGAAACTCAAAATTTAATAGATCAAATTTGAAAAGACGAGCGGTATTTGAAAAGATTATTTTTAAAATCATTTTTTATGAAAAACATTTCGAGTAGGTAATAATATAAATGTATTTATTAAATATTTTATAAAATTTGTTTATTTTATAGTACTATAACCGCTACGACATAAAGTTACATAGGCGTTTTCTAATATTCAACAAAATGATGTACTGATGATAGATCACGTTACCAATAAATGGCCTGTCTTTATTTAATTAAATCAAACTTAATAAAATAAAAATATGAGTATTCCGGTGAGTCACAGAAATAGTAAACTAAATTTTTTCAATTAATTAGTACCAAAATCTACAATTCAATATAAAAAAATTCACATAACAATGTAATAAATACGAGCCCCTTCCCATTTCAGTTAGCCCACCTATTGATATTTTCATTCTATAACGACAATTAAAAAATATTAAAGATTACATGTTTTTTAAATCGTAAATTAATTAACAATGCATCAATTTACAATTGTATTAGAACTAGAAAATATCAACTTTTTTATTTGAATTTTTATATTTATTAACACATGGAGCATTAATGCAATATTAGGCATTCCATTTACCTGTCCAAATGGCTACCAGTGGGATCTGACAGTTTAGATATGGCAACCCTGTGGGCATGTTGTCATTAACAGGGTCAATGATACATATTATATAGATTGCTCAGAGCGGGTCGTTTGCGAACGGCCATATTGCCTGGGAAGTGTTCATTAATTTGAATCGGTTTAGCAAAAATGTATTTTAAAACCAATTTTAAGCCTTTGAATATTTAAAAAAAATAATTGTATACATTTTTACTTCAAGGCATAAGCTTATGTTTATATTTAAAACCATGGCTGATCAATCTATATAACTGTCTATAACATTGACCCTATCCAACCACCAGGCTCACAGTGTTGCTATATTATAACCTATCATGTGCCTATTAGTGGCCTGTCATTTCAAACGGGCAGCCATTTTGTTTGGAATGCCTAATTAGGCATTCCAACGACCCACAGAGGGGCAAGGTTAGACAAAATTCACCAAAAACTCTAGAATGAAATTTTAGGCAACTGACAAAAATAACCACGGTAAACCTACTACAATAAATCCTTCTTTCGAAGTCACAATAGCCTTGGATTGTCCGCGTGATAAAACAAAAGATAAAGCTTGTCAAAAAAAGCGTTTTAAATGCGTATATTGCTGTAATTTTTTAAGTGCAAATAATTTTGATAATTTCGGTCTACTCTTTGTGCTATAATAATCGAATTAACTTTGATAATAATTATGCAAAATAATCGACGTGATAAGTAGATTATTATTGTATAAAAAAAAAGTATTGCAGTATGTTACTGTTATTTCATGGAGGTATTTTTATGAGTTCTGCAAAAATTAACAAATTTATTTAGACCTAGGATTTCTTTTAAACAAAAAGTAGCAAATTCTGTCGTATTCAGTGTAGATTTTGGCACAGTTTCTTTTCGTAAACATTCTTATTTATAGTGGTATTGCGATTAGCTGCTACTTTTTGCTTATAATGCGGTAATTTAGGCATGCACAAGAGGATGATATTTTTGTAACACTATTACTAGAAATGGCAGTCGGGCAACATTTTTATAATTTTTTTTTAATTCCTGTTTTGTTACCTTCTGCGTGATGCTAATTATTACATTTATTTGTCTATAATTTGCATCTTATGAAAAACCCTAATTAAATCGGAATTTATCGGTACGTTTATTTTGGTTTTTTCAGTCTTTCTTGAAAAGAGTTTACTTTCCGCACACTTATAAAATACTATTTCTGCAATGAAATGATTTTTTTCTAATATAAATAAATTTGCTCTCTATGTTTGTGTTGTTTTAGATTATTTGACCTTAGAAATTAGTCGAAGAGATCTGTGGGAAAAGATTAAAAAAACAAAACCGACAATGTACATATCATAAAGAATACATAAGAAATTTAACAAATTGCCCAATTGACAAGTTTCAAATTATTTCAAACCAAATTGGACTTTGAGTGATTTTTCATTTAGTTGCGGAAACTGCTGATATGCGCAAGGAGAATTGGGTCGAGGTTATCTGTTATGCGGCTCAAATGGAGCTCAGAAAATCTGGTAAAGTGCAAGCCTCCAAACTTATACAAGAATTTATAAGAATCCTGCGAGAGCTACTGAATATATAAGTGCTTTAAATAAAGGTATGACTACAGATACTAAAACAAAATTGCCACCAGAGGAGGCATTTTCAGTTTTAGTGGAAGCGAACTTATCTCGTAATCAATATAATATAATTAGAGAAAAGGGCAAAGCTAGATTTTCCTTATGTAAAGTTGTGCAACAAGCCAAGCATGTTACCCTAATAATATAAAATTTAGTTCCATTTGTGTAGAAGTTGAACTTCAACCTCTACTTCACAACATTACCAAGAAAATATTGTTATTACAAAAAGAAATATTGGGTAGGTTTAATCGAAAAATACTAAAGAAAGTATTGTTGATATGCAAATGGGGTTTTGATGGCTTCTCTGGACAAAACAGTAATTACCGGTTATCATTATTTAACATGTATTGCCTGAAAACAGCACAATTACTCATAGATAGATAAATATTCTTGGTATTATATGACGCAACAGTTCACTTAATTTTAAATCAAGGTGCAGAAATTATTCGTTCCGTACTTCTTCCAGTCGGCCAGCACCCAGAAGAGGCTGCAGAAAGTAGAAACAAATATTTTAAAAAATATCGAGAAAGCTTCGCTAGAAAAATAGCTCGAAAGAAAACTAATGAAGATGTTTTAAGGGGCTTCTTCTCTCTTCGAATCCTGTTAATAATGGTATTAGAAAAACTCAAAAATAAAAGAGAAATAATTTTTCTAGCGTTTATCCATGCTTCTACAATCAGAAATTGACCAAATTAGTTATGTTTCTGATAGTGATAACTCTTTGAATTGTAATTTTGATTAAATATTAGTTTTAAGTAATTATTGTTCCATTGAGCTATAGACTTTAGTTTATTGTCTATATTTTCAGTTAATACATTGTCAAACCACCAATATATTATTATAAAAGCCTTTTAATTTAAAAAAAAATGTTAATTTAGTATTTTGATAATGTTTGAAGTGTGTTCTGTAGCAAAATATTCTGTTGTGTTTTATTTTTTCTTTATGTTTCCACTCTTGAACTTAATTTGTCTTTAACAAATAATGTAATTTCAGAAGGGATAATTTTATTATAAAAGATAGTAATTAATATATCTACTAATACCTACTCCTACTAAGCTGTTTTACTACTTGAGTTTCTCACAACTTTTTAAGGAATAGCCTGTATCTACTTTAAATGGTGTCAGTT